TCCAACTGATGCCATGCTCTTCCCAATAGACGTTTAGTGTTTGGATTGGTCGGCCTCCTTCAGACAGCACGAACCCTCCCATCTGAAAGAAGAAACTGTGCGCGAGAGTCCATCGTGGTACCTCGTCGGCCTTCCATATGGGTGGCAGAGGGGAGTTTCGAAAACTTGCACGGATACTGCCAATAATAGAAGTGGGCCTCTGTGTTTCTTGGCCAAGTTCGTCTGCGCATCTCATATATAAGCCGTTCGTGTTTCTCTTGCTCAATATAATATATCAGGCTTACCTGTCGCCAGACTCGCATTGTAAATGTCCGCAATCTTCCTCGCGGCCAGCCGCTGCCTCAGCGCCCACGCCGTGATCGCCTCGGGCAGGAGCAGCGCGTACACCAGCATCGCGAACTGGCTCTTGCAGCGCGTCCACGCGCCGTCCGTCGTCGCCGGGATATTCGGGTGCACCGCGGACCATGTGCACGCGAGGACGGTCGTGGAACAGCTGAGGAGGATGTCGCTGACGGCGCGCGCGCCCAGGTGGGCTTGCGTGTCGCGGGTGTCGAGAGCGAGACAGGCAGCAGGTGTGTCGGGCGGCGGGGAGAGCGGGACGCTGCGGAGGGTGCGTATCAACGCGAAGAAGAGCAGGATAATGAGCATGGGGCTCCTAGATGTATTGATAAGTGGATATTGTGTAAAGCTGTGGGTCTGCAGGGAGAAGTACTTCTCTACACCGAATCTGCACTAGTTATATCTTCAGTTATTGTTCGAATTCGTGCGTTGCTAACTTCCACGTATACAGCTGTGCCTATCTTGGCTGCAGAGCTCTGCAGGACGACTGAACTGGATGCGCTAAACATAGGTGTTCCGAGGCATAGCTTTGATCTTCACATCCCAGGATTAAGACGAGGAAAGATGGTATGCTAAACAGCAGTAAATGATTGCTCGACTCGGAACTTTGAAGACTTGTCATGCATGTAATTTATGACCTGTACAATGTCAATAACGACGCGCGGATAGATATACTTATGGTATACTCGATTCCGTAGTTTGCCTGTGGACAGCCAATAGTATTATGATACGCATAACGTGGGTGTGCACCAGCGGCTATTAATGCTTACCTCGTCTCGCGCCCGTCTGATTGGAGAGCAGCCTGTTTTGGGTACCGGTAGACCTTGATGTAAATGTATGCATACCACTGCGAACTTCCACGCAGTGCCACGAAGGAGCCACGACGCTCTGCCAGAACCATTGAGTGCTAAAACCAAATCACCGGTGCAGCCATTTCATTTCAGCGCAGAAGCTTTGGCGACATCCAGTCGCATTTCATTCAACTGCGGCGTTGCTAGTCACTAGTCAGATGGAACTTCGGAAGCACTGCCCTGTTCTTCTTCGTTCGACATTAAGTAGTCTTCTTGCCTATTCTGAGCCTTCCGCATGTCGCCCATATATGTAGCTCCTAGTGCATCAGCAAAACCAGTCATGTCGTCTCCATCAGAAAGGCTGTGGTATTTACCTGTGGCTCTTGGCAAGAGTGATGTAGATGGTAGTGGCCAGAAAGTTCGACAGAGGAATAGACAAGGATTAGATGCCTTGAAGGTTTTCCGCAAATCAAAGAGTCTTATCGCCGACCGTCATGTTGAGTGTTTCAGCATGCGCATTTGGACCATCACGGAAGCAATGCATTTCGTACGATACCCCCACAAAACTCAAATCCCAGATCGTCAACAATTTCTATCCGATAGCTTGACTGTTTTCATTGAAGGAATGGTAGAAGCACAAGCACAGAAAGCATCTATCAAATAATCCCAACCACCACTTACTCTGCTTACAGAGCACTGGCACCTGTGCAATAAAAACAGAAAGAGATGATTAGAATAAGATGAAGAGTTTGTGGGATAGATGACGCACCAGTGATGATATCCACCAGCTCGTTCGTGATCGCGGCTTGGCGACCACGGTTGTATTGCATCTGCAGACTGTTGATCATGTCCTTCGCGTTCTTGGAAGCATTGTCCATGGCATTGCGACTAGAAACAGAAAGCGACGCAGAGATGAGGATTTGGGAAATTAAAATTTCAGAAGGAAGTTGGACGCACCGAGCACTCTGCTCGCAAGCGTGGGCCTCGGTAAGAGCGGCGTAGATGGCGTTGGCCAAAGAGAACTCGGCGAAGTCCTTGGTGGCGTCATCCTCGTTCTCGTAGACCTTAAAAGCGTCTGCGCCACAAAAAGAGGATTGTTAGAACCTCGACCGCAAATGATTTAACGCCAATCATTACGTACTGCTCTCCTTGAGGGCCTCCTCGCCCTTAACTTCCATCACAGTAGGCTCGTATGACAGAGCGGAGACGAACTTGTTGTACACGAGCACAACCGAGTCGTACTTTATGTTCTTCTGGATGATCAGGTCGGCAACGGCAGCGGCGTCAGCGAAAGTAGGGATGTCACGGCCGATTTGGTTGAATGTCATTTGTAGGTTGCCACCGACAACGCGGAGGAGCTGGGCCTTGGACTTGTCACCAACAACGACAATGGGCGAGTTGGGATCGACGGTGGCGTCGGTGCCTTCAACGCCAGCGAGGGGAGAGTCCGCGACGTTGGCCAGTGCACGACGTGTGGCCTTGGACACAGAGGAGTGGATACCACCGCACAAACCCTTGTCGGAGGAGATGACGATGAACAGCTTGTTGGGGGTGGGCTTGTCGGAAGGAACGTGGGTGAATAGCTCTGCTCGCCGTCCTTTCAACGCTACATTTATGTATATAGGTGCAGACACACGCACCCTTGTTAGCGATACCGTACGCCTTTCCAGCCTCCATGGCCCGCTGGGCCTTGGCGAGCTTGCTGGACGCAATCATTTTCATCGACTAGAGCATCATACAGTCAGCCATACACCACCTGAAAGACACGGCGCGTCAGACCTTGGTGATTTTCTCGATGTTCTTGACGGACTTGAGACGGAGCTCGATCTCGCGGAGAGTGGCCATGTTCCTGGCGTTGGTGGGGGCGGCGCCGAGCGCCTGGGGCTGCGCAGCGGCGCGGGCGAGGGAACGGCGGGCGAGCATGGTGGAGGACGGGATTTTACGTTTTCTGCGCTGTTGGCAGCAGCCAGGTCGGGCACTCTCGGCTTTGCTCGTGTTTGTTCCCACGCCGGGCGGAGTTTCATTTCAATCATCATCGTCCTCTGCGAGTCAGATATCGGCAGTGATCTTTACTGACCGTCCACCATGGCCACTGAGGAACCGCTCTTCGACCCCTCGCTCAAGAAGCGCAAGAAAAAGAACGTCGTCTTCATCGAGGACCCCCTAGGCGCAGACGCCGATCCCACCAAACCCGCTCCCGAGACCATCGATGGAACCACCATCAATGGCGAGAGTGTTGATCTCGGACCCACCACTGCTCATGAGCTCATGGCGCAGGAGGCAAAGTCAGAAAAGCAGGACAAGGACTCGGAGGATTTCAAAGCGATGTTTGGAGACATGAAGAAGAAGAAAAAGAAGAAGGAGATCCCTATGGATTTCGTACGTCCATGAATTACATATCGGGTGCTCACAATACTTACATGATATCTAGGGCGAAGACTCTGGTACATCCACACCTCTTACCAAGGATGAAGGTGCTGCACCAACAACAACAGAAGGGCCGACGATCACCGCCGACGACCTGGACTTCTCCGACATGAAGAAGAAAAAGAAGTCGAGCAAGAAAAAGGCCGCCTTCGATCTCGACGCCTTTGAGAAGGAGCTCACCGAATCCAAGAAGACCTCCAAGGCAGAGGGAGGCGACGAGGAAGAAGAGGAGGGTCCTGAGCCCGATGGCTCGCATCTGGACAACATCGACGAGGAGGAATTGGGTGAAGATCCATTTGCCCAAGGTGGGGATGCGCCCGTAGGACTGGACGCTGGTAACGAGCCCTGGCTAAAGACCGACCGTGATTACACATACCAAGAGGTGCGTGTTTCTGTCCATCTCCCCGTACATCTCTAACGTATCTTTCTATTTCTTCGGTATAAAAATAGCTACTGACACGGTTCTACGCCTCACTACACGCCGCCAATCCCTCCCTCCTCTCCAGCGCGTCGAAGAAGCGCTACACCATCGCCCCACCCCAACTCTTCCGCGAAGGCAACAAGAAATCGATCTTTGCCAACGTCACCGATATCTGCAAAAAGATGCATCGTCAAGTACGTTCTTCTTATATTCCTTACCAATAATCGATTTATTTAACATGAATCTTCTACAGCCCGAACACGTCATCCAATACCTCTTCGCCGAAATGGGTACGACAGGAAGCGTCGACGGTGCCGGACGACTGGTTATCAAGGGTCGTTTCCAACAGAAACAAATCGAGAACGTGCTACGCCGCTACATGGGTACGTCCTCACATCCCCTTCCATATATCCTGATCCTGATCCTGACATCCTCTTCCCCTCTTCCCCAGTCGAATACGTCACCTGCAAGACCTGCAAATCGCCCGACACCCTCCTCACCAAGGAGAACCGCATCTTCTTCATGGCCTGCGAGTCGTGCGGCTCCAGACGGTCCGTCAACGCCATCAAGAGCGGTTTCCAGGCGCAGGTCGGGAAGCGCAGCAAGAACAAGACGGGCTGATCGACCTCCTCCTTGTGTCGCGCTGGCTGGCTTTCCTTCTTCCGTCGCTGTGGTTGTGGGGATGGTGCGAATGGAGTCCGTATACACTCTGTCGCCTTTAGATATATATTACTGGTGTGTTTGTAGGCAACCATGAGTGGAAGATGGCGTCGTTGGTTTACTTAGAGCATCGCGTGTTGGATATGCGCAAATCCACTTCTTTTTCCCCTCTTCCGTGGTTCAGGAATGTCGTTTATGATCGTTCCATTCATTGAAATTTGAAAGCCGTTTGTGAGTTGGGCTGTCGCGCGCCGTTAGCGCTGCACAGTGCAAGTCATCGTCTATCCGTCCGCTATCGTTGGTTGGCAGACGTACGTACCTCTAAGTATATCGAATCCGGGACATTCTCATTATTTGTTAACGCCTCCTTGGCTCAGTTGGTTAGAGCGCAGGTCTCATATATAGCAATATGAATAACACTTGTGTTATGCAATCCTGAGGTCGCAAGTTCGAACCTTGCAGGGGGCACTCAATTATACTTCTGAATTCAATTTTTGCAAATTTTAAATTTTGAATGAGATTCAAAAAATTTCGCATGAGACTGTCGCCATAAATTTTTGGGAATTGCTGCAAAAACAAAAGCACAATATGCATGCCCAGGCATATATGACTGAGTTGGTCTGAAAGCACAAAAAGGCATTGTATCGCATAGGTAACGACAACCATATCCGCGGAAGTCACACCAAGATTCTGGATTCATGCCGGACATGATATCATATAGAAATTATATTCTAGGTCATAGTACATATGCATATGTATAGTAATTGCATGGTTTATGAATGCTTATTTGTGCATACGCCCTGGAAGCAGAATGTCGAAGGAAAAGAGCAAGAGAAAGCAGTAGAAAGCGAAACACGACACAGAATAACGGCGAAGTCGAGAGCGAACAAAGCAACAGTCATGAAAAGCGCACATTTCAAATGTCCAAGTTATAAATCAATGTCCCAACACTTTCCTCGTATTCACCGTGATCAGCCACGCCGACGCGGTGCACAACCCCACAGCCAGGAGGACAAGAGCGTAGCACAATGCGTACCGGCACCGCTGAATCCACGGATCGAACATCCTCCTGCCGTTCTCCGGCCGCCCCCGCACCTCCGACAGCTTCACCCCATACAGCAGATCCAGCACCCTATTCGGCTTCCCGAGCACGCGCAGCACAGCCCTGCCTCCCCGCCCGAACACCGACGTCGAGGGCGGCGGCGGCCGCGCGCCCAAGGACATGGACGAGTCCTGCGACGTCCCGGCCGGGCGCGCGACGAACGGGTACCCGAACGAGATGCCGCGCATCGAGCGCTTCGGGTCGTTCAGGCGCATCCGCCCGTCGTCCGTGTGCTGCTTCTCCGCCACCCACCGCGGGAGCGCGGGGTACACCTGCCCCGCGCGCGCCTTCTGCGCCGCGGAGGCCGACCCGCTCCTGCGCTTGCCCTGCCGGCGCTGGGTGTTTGCGGCGGTCGCGTTGAGGTTGGGGTTGGGGCTGCCTGTGGGCGTTGTGGTGGGCGCGGCGCCGTCGCCCTGGTTGGATGCGGCACTGTCGCCGCTAGCCCTCGCGGCCTTCTTCAGCTTGTTGGGTCGGCGCTCAGCGCGTGAGCGTATCCCACAACATCCCGAAAAACGGCTCGACAGCGCACCGAAGAAGCCTGCAATGCTCCATCCCGAACGCCAGAAGTACCACTCCCATAGACTCACACGCGGAGGCAGCTCGCCTGCGTTGGTGAAGTGCCACCCGCCGATGAGCCAGAGCACTGGGAAGACGAAGCCCAGCCAGAACGTCCAAAAGGCAGGCGTCAGATTCAACGTGGCGGAGAGAAACGACGGAGACGATGGCCGGAAGGGCCAGCGGGTGCTGTGGTCTTTCGCGCTGAACGTCGTGGGTGATGAGACCACAAGCTCGGGAGAAGGAGGGGCGTGCCCGTCGATATTCCACCGTCGGAAGATGCCTGACTCGCCTATGGATCTTATTGGGCTAAGAATGCGTGCGCTGGCGCCTTCTGCAGGGCCGGCGTCAGGCCTCAACGATCCGTGGGATGCTGAGCGGGCAGGATCAGAGGGCGTTCCTCGGCCGTGCTCGTCCTTGTTCGAATTGATAGTGGCGAGTTCCATCCCCAGCTCGGGTCATGGTTGGCGTCCTCGTTGGTGCCGGCAGTGACAAAGCTGTCCGCATGGAGAGATTCACGCTCGTATTCCTCGTCGTCCTCTTCTTCGTCTACCTCGTCTACGTCTATGTCGTAGCCAGCATCTCCGTCACCCCCATGCTCGCTATCATCTTCATACTCGTATTCCTCGAGCTCTTCGTCTTCGCCGTGGTGTCCTTCATCGCTGTGTATCACTGGCATCCGATCGACCTCAGCAAGGCCTTTCCGCAGCGTGCTGCCCGCTTTCGATGCCCTGTCCCTCGGTAAATCCGCGCCGACCTGCGAAAAGCGCAGATCGAGCGGCGGAATCGCAGGAAGCGATGGAATCTTCGGCAGACCGAGCGTCGGCGCAGTGGTCATCGCCGGAGGCGGCACCTGAATTCCCTGGCCAGCAGGAGGCACTTGCATGCCAGCGGTGATCCCGCTGAGGATGCTCGGCGACGTGGGCGTCTGCCCTGCAGAGGCATGGAGTGTCGACGTCGGCGTGTACATCGTGCCCGTGCTGGTGCCCGTCGTGCCTGCGGACGTCGGTGTCTGGATGACTTCTCGTGCGCTTGGATTTGAGTTGGTGGCCGGTGTGTTGTTGGTCGAGGAAGAGCGCGGCACAGAGGTCATCAGATGCGCTACGGCGACGGGCCGCGCTTGCGCTTGGCCGACTCCAGATTGAGTGGGTGTTTGGGATTGCGCGCTAGATTGGCCATTAGCCAGTGTTGACGCGGGTGGAGCTGATTGGGACTGCGAATCAGATTTGGATGACGACTGCGAGACAGTACGGTTAAGGTGGCGTGTCAAAAAAGGCGAGGCATATACAGGCGATGGTCCTAGAGATGGACATAGCTTATGAGTGAAGGACTTCGCCATCGATCAAGAAATGTGAGCGTACGCGTGATTTCGGAAGGGCTCCCATTCAACTGCCCCATCGAGGCCGACCCAGCTCGGCTCAAGCTGACCATATTCCCATTGATCGTTCCAATAGACCCTCCGGAACCCGTTCTTACAGAGCCGGTCCTTGTCTTCAACGACTCCTTCTCTCCTACCTCGGCTGCGGCTGTGTCTTCCGCCGGAGCACCATGTAATAGCGCTGCGCCCAATTCCCCGAGACTCTCCGCGCCAGGACTCGCCTTTCCGGTGCTGGAACTCGCGTTTTTGCCTCGGGCATACCGCAATGACGCCGCGCGCGAGGACGATTCCAGCACTGGTGAGAAATAATCTTGTTCCGCAATAGGCGAAAGCTGCTTGGCCAGTGGGTAGTTGTACGCCTGCTTATACACGTCGGTGTCAACGCTGACGGCCGCGGGTTGTGCACCAGGCGCGAGACCGAGAGGAGGTGCGCCGTGCGATGGATGTGTTAGGCGCTGATCCACGGGTGGGGGACGCGCCTGCGACTGGGCGGGGTGCGAAAAGTGTCGCGTAGAGGATCCAGCACCCGTCTGCAGAGAGGGCATGCTCTGTGCGTTGTGGAGCTGGAGTTTTAGTGCCCAGCGTGATTTTGGCATCGTGCTTCCATTTCCGTTGGTTGATTTAGAAGCAGAAGACAGGGAGGCCGTGCTCGTCGATCGCGGCGGAACTGGGAAGTAGAAACCTTCATCGGAGTCCGAATCGAAGGGTGAAGTGTATAACTCGCCCCCATCGTCGTGCTCCTCATGGTCCGAATGGAGCACGTCCGGCCGACTATCGGATCGACGCGTTGGGGGCCGTTGGGCAGTGCCAGGGATATTGCTGACGACGCTGGCCGGTGCAGTCACATATCCGGAGTAGGGATACGATTCTTGTGATACGACGTCCGTGGATATGTTCCTATGACTGCTGTATCGCGGAGGGGACTGAATGGAGCCATCAGGTCAGCACGTTCAAAGAATTTCATTTCGAACAATTTCACGCACGGTATCCTCCTCGTTTTCGTCATCACTTCCCACCGGAATGAACGCCTCGCTATCCAGCCGCACCACCGCTGGGGGCGCGTAGGTGGCTTGCGTCGCAGCCTGCACAGGAGGACGATCGCCTAGCCTCCTCGGTTTCTCTGGGTCATACCAGGCATTGCTCCCTCCAGCCACTTGGGGAGGTTGCGCACGACTAGGCCGATGGGCCGCGCCACCGTACGTCGCGCCGGTTGGTACCCCCGTTCCTCCGGATGGGCCGATGTACTCGTCTAGACCCGTCAGCGAGTTCGCTACAGCTCGTGGAATAGGATAGCTGATAGTCATGGAAGGCGGGCCGCTCGCTGGGGCACGCGCGGTGGTGGTGGAGATGGCTGGCCGCCGCGTGGAGGACTCTGTGACCGGCCATGGCAAGTTGAGGCTCCTGTTCAGCGAGGATGCGTCGTCTGCTGTGTCTTCATGGGCTGGCGCGCTGCTGGTAAGACGCAAGCGGGAGAGGAAAGCGAACATGGGATAGATACGAAAAGGTAGTAGATGGAGTGTATTCGAGTATGTTCCTGTATTTTTGGTTGCGTGACGCTATATTACCGCTAGTTTGGGAGCTCGAGATAGGGAGCGTCCCTCCTGCGGAGTAGTCGACGAGATAGTTTAAGGGGAGGGGAAGAGCGGGGGGATGGAAAGACTTCAGGGAAGGGATGAAGTGAAGATCCGGTGAGGTGCCTGCGTGAAGCTGCTCCCTACTTTGAGTCTGCTTGCCTGACGGTCGCTTGCGGGCTAAGTTTCGGACATGTTGCGTACACAAGGCTCGGAGATGGGGGATGCGACGCACGCTTCTTCGAAGTGCCAATGAATGGGTGCAAAAACCCAGGCAAGCCAAACGAAAGCTTCGCTGTCTTTTATAAACTGGTGTCACCTTGAAGGTAGGTGGCCATAGCGTATCTGAAGCAAAGAATATCCTCAGCCCATCGTCTTTCGTATGGATTAGTTTATTATGCTGATCACATCTTCACATCACGACGCGCAAGCAGGAAGCCTCGAGGCTGTGGAACGGCAGGTTCTGTCAGAGGGCTGCTAATCAGCATGCTCGTTTTGTTTACGGAAGGCGAGAAATTAAGTACTAAGAGTGGGCGATAAGTCAAATCGCCGAGTGCCCCAGACAGCGTGTCTCGAGATAAGCAACTTCGTGTCTTCAGCTATGATAAATTTGCCGCGGAAGTGGGGTATGTGTAAGTTTATCCCTCACAATCATGTTTGATGACTTTAATCGAATAAGTAACAGTCCTGAAGGAAAGACGATTATACGCACACATTTCGATGTTGGATACACGCATTAACAGAGGAAGCGGCAAGCCTACATTCGACATTGTGATGATGTGTTCTTGGAAGAGACAGACAACACGGTGACGACGGGCCACAGCGCCAAAAGCAGTAGGATGCTCACGCGCACGTGATTCCC